ATTCAAACTGTGCCTCGCCCTTTCACAGCAGGTGGGTGCTAAGCCTGCCATAATATACAGGAAACCCTGGCCTTTTCTGAGTTTGGTTTGGTTTGGTTTTGCTGCAGTGTGGTTTAACAAGCTACCTGTGAACTAAACTGTCCTGTCAGGCATCACTCCCTGGTTCACCCTGCTCTCCTTTCTGAAGGACACAAGGAACAGATGTTTAAGCAGCAGAGTTGTCTGAGCCGCCTCACTCTTTCATTTGTCTGCCAAGTCCAACTCAGAGCAGACTCTGTCAGCCTCCCTGTCTTCCAGCGTCACAGAAGGAGAATGAGGCCAGCTCACCTGTTTTGCTACCAAGATCCATCCAATCTCATTCCTTTCCTTCTTTTTTTTCCTCCTTTTTTTTTTCTTAATTTCCTTTTTCTCTATAGCTGCTGGGTTTAGCCCTGTTTCTCCTTCTGTGACACAGCAGCCAACTCAGCCTCATTCAGTCCTACTTTCCCTTCTACCCTGTGGCAAAAATCTCTCCAGCACACTTGTGTTTCTGTACCCAGAAAACTCACACACTCTTCTGCAGCTATGAGTGCCAGAAAATGGGATTGGAGCCACCTTGCAGGATGGAGCAGGTGCATGCAGAAAGGAGGAGAAGCAGCTGCTTGCAGAAGTCTGGGGCATCTTTTAGGGCACCACGGTATTTGACTTGGATCCTTTGACTGCTGCTAGGCAGAAGCAATGTAGTTTGCTTCCTTTCTGAATTTTAGGTCAGCTTCCTTCTGTGCTATTCGAAAAAGTGACTTTGGGACGGTATCTGAATTCCCTTGGCCTTGCCGAGAACAAGGGTGTGTGTCCCAAATGGGAGAACTCTGAAAAGTAAGGAATCCTCCCCGTTTTTAGGAACAAGATCCCATGTCTAGGCCTGGCATAAAGCCAGGCTTTTATATTGAGTTCTGTCTTGCAGAATCCTGTGAAAATTGTCAGGAAAAAAACAACCTTTTGGCTTCTTCACTGGCAGCCTTGAGTTTTAAATCATTCCAATTTTGTCTTCCTCTGTCACAGCTAGGCATCCTGTTCTAACCTGAAAATTTCATTACTGTCTTGAGCATTTCTCCATCCCACAATCTCAGAAGCTGCAGCCTTTCCTATCTCCACTGAGTTCTCACACTGGCAGTGTGAAGATGTGCACATCAGGAAACTGGGAAGACAGAATTACAGCAACATATGTGTTCATTTGTTGAATAAACATTTTAGCAAGTCCTACAATGAGTCATCACATTAAAAGCTGTCCTTTGTATCCTCTTTGGGACTGTTTTTATAAAAAGAATATAGAAGTCAGAGCCAGTCAGTTCAAATCAATTTGCAAATTAAGGACTGCAGGCTTTTAGAAGCACACCTCCCTCAGTGGGCAGGGAGAGGGAAGCTGTGCTGCCTGTGCCATGGTCCCTCATGGGGCTGCTGGGGAAGCACATGTACTGTCAAAAGGTGACATGTGTGTTCAGGCTGTGGAGTGTGTGTTGGGCATGGAAATGGATTTTACCAGTGATCGTGATGACTGCCTCAATTTTTCCTCTGGGCTGGGCTCAAAAATCACATGTGAGAGGATTCAGACTCCATATGTCCTCTGTCCTCATGTACACCTTATGCATAAGCTCTCTGAATCTGGCCTGTAATCTGAGGTTGAAAAGAAATTTTTATATCATATGTGTGTATACAAGCTTATTTCCTGTCAACGCTCAGTCATAAGAATAATCAAAAAATGGGTCTTTTGAGTTGATCTGAGTTATGCAGGGAGTAGCTTTGTTTAAAATAGTAAACCATTTTTGTTTTTCTGTTTTCCTTCCTGTATGTGAAATCCTAAGCCTTTCATTTTAGGGGGAAAAAAAAGCTGGTTTAATGTTCTCTGTATCTGAGAGGATTAAGGGGTCATCTCAAACATTAAAAAGTAGCCTTTCTGGATTCCCTAAATATGTACTGTTAAAAATGGAGTATTTGAATTAATATGATTTAGATGTTCAGAACCTGATTCCAGTGCAAGCCTAAGCGCAGATGGAAGGTTCTGCACCAAGATATTACAGTGATATTGTCTTTTCTTAAGTGCACTTACCTTTTCAGGGCAAAACTGAACAAGTTCATTCTGCCTGTGTGCCAAGAGAAATACAAGCCATTTAGCTGGACTGAGGCTGAGCTGGGCTTTGCTTTGGTAGACTAAAATTGCCATGTGATAGTGTGATTCAGTACCCTAAACATTGGCTATTTTAGCCAGAATAGGGTCTCTGAGATATCTGCATGGGAGTGGCATACATGAGATATTCCCTCTAATGGACCCATATGCTTCCAAAGCAGCAGCTGGAGGCCAAGTAGGATATCCTAAGATATCTAAAATGGCATGGTCTATCTACATTTAAGCAAATGGTTCCCATCCTGTTTAATCTTGGACTTACTCTCACTAAAATATTAAATAATATGTTTATCCACTTCTGTATATCCACTGTGCGTCCTCTCAGCCTTCTTCAGTTTGTGAAGGGTTCAGGAAAAGAAAAAAACTACCTCTGTGTGCTGGGGTTTGCCTTCCAATAGGCATTGCAACAACAACTTGTATTTCTTTCTGATCCAAAAAGTAATTATTTGTTTTTACGAGTCTACAGAAAAAAAAATGTAATTTCAGACTCCTCCAGAGAGTGCTGATGATAAACTTCTCATATCGCTTCCCTTTCATGTCTAGGCATTTCTGATGGAAACACCACACACTCTTTTTAAGATTTTCAAGTCCTTAGAAGTTCAGAGATTTTGTATAGCTGAAAAGGCTTTTCAGAAATCAGTGGGTAATATTGTTCTGCATTGAATTATATAGGAAAAGAGGACCTAGAAGAATCATTGCCTTACACAAGATGATAAGACTCCCTCATCACTAGAAGAGGCATGTGCTGCAGTAACAATATTGTGATGCTTTGTATATGACTTGAAGGGGTTGAAGTCTATAGGAATTATGGTTTTTTACCCTTAAATATCAGTGCTTTATATCGTATTTTGTTCTTGCTTTTTGTTATGTGATGTGCCTTGAAAGTCAACAGCTTCTCTGATTTTCTGTCCTGTGAAAACTAGCATTATTTGTTGGGTTTGAGTAGCCTCGCCAGGTTAGGGAAACTGCACTGAGATTGAGACATTTTTAAGGAATTTGATGTTTGAGATGTTCTTAAGGATGAAGTTTGGGGGTGGGGGGGGGAAGTTCATTCAAAAGCACAGAGCAGTTTATCAGTCCTTCAGGCAAAGGGAAATCCCAGGTGATGGGCAGGATGTTAGTAGCAATAAAGAGCTGGTGATTCCATCTACGCTTACAAAAATAAATCAAATAGTGTACAAAACTTCTGGTCCACATAAGGAAAAAATTTCCCAGTGATTAATTCAATTAACTAAAAAAACCTCTCCAAACGCCACAGCTTCCCTGACCCAAATAAATGTGTAATTAGAGAAGACTGCATGAATATGACTTATAAAAGTATGTTTTTAGTTTTATTTCTGACTTCTATGTTGGCAGTAACTTCAGTTCCAAAGCTTTTACAGGCTTCAGTAGAACTAAAAGCTGAGTTTTTGCTTTAGACCAACACTTACCAGCAAAGAAAGGAATAAAATGGGCTCATTTCACTCTTTGTAGCCATGTAGCCAATTTCAGAAATGTCTTCTCAGCTTTAAATGGTGGAAATTTCTAGAACTGATGATACATCTGAGACTAAAACAGACTTTAAATGCACCTCTCAGCTGAAAGATGTGCTTGCTTGTGTAAGTGTGCTGGCAAGAGGAAAAATAAGAATAGATTTGTTATGACCCACCCAGCAAGATAGGAGTAACTTTTGCTAATAAATCCCTTGTAGTGAATTGATACTAGATGATCAGTGTTTACAGATACATATATATTAGGTATATAGCTATATAGATATGCGTATAGATATATGATTTAGTTTTAGAACAACGTGGTTGCAAAGGAAAACCGGTGTGTAGCCATTTTAGTTGTTATAATATATAGTAATATAGCAATAAAAAAACATGAAGATATCACCCAGGAAAATGTGTAAGGGCAAAAGGAGAGAAAAAGAGAATGATAGTTACATAAAGAAAGAGAAAAAGGGTGTGTTTATAGTCACCACTTAGAGGCCTTTGCCGAACTTGGTTGTAGTTGCTGTTCGCTGGTGTCTTGGTCCACTGGGGAGTGGTGGTGGGAAATAAGCCCATAGGACATAAAATCCAATGGGTTTATATGCCCTCAGAAACCCTCCTGGGGCCTCTCCCATGTCGGGGAGGGCTGTTTTGCACAGTTGTGCTGGTTTTGCAGAGAGCTGGAGGTGTTGGTGTTTTGCAAAGTCGTTTTATGCTTGGGGGGGGGATGTCCTTGCTAAGAGTGAGGCTTCTCTGGGGGGTGGTGGGTGGATGCCCATGGGGGTCTCCTCTGACATGGCCTGGCCCATAGGAGATAAACACCACACACCCAGAGAGTACCACTGGCCTCCTTTAGATGGGCATCACACACCTAGATATGATCACACACCCAGAGTCACCCCTTGGGCCTCCACAAATCTAACATTTACGGGCTATGGCCTCCTCCCCTTCTCCCTTCAATCCCCTGGCACGAGGTTCACACAGCTCATTACAGGAGCAGTGTTTTAAGGCAATTAAAAAGGTCCCAAGTCCTGACAAGATTTAGGGGTATATATTTAAGACTGGACTTCAAAAATTCAACTTCTTTTCACTTTGTAAACTTTTCTCAGAAATAAGAAGCACTACAGGCACTGCACTGTGTATGGCAATAAGAAGTGGCAGGTTCCTGTTTATTTAACACTCTTGGAATCTCATTAGTTATGAAATGGGGCTTGAGTGCTGTGTACAAATAAACATTTTTTTCTTTCTCTACTGCTCAAAGTCACCAAACATAGATTGGTCTGGAGTCCATTTATTGTTCCTGCTAGAAATGATATAACATAAAAATCAGGTTTTGATACACAGATGTTTTTTCCTCCTTCCTTCAGGCTGTTGAAGAATGCGCAGAATGAAGTTCATTTCAGAATCTGGTATAAGAAACTACTGGCTGCTCTCCAATTCTGTGCTGGACAAACCCTGAACAATGAGTTTTCTAAGGAAGAAAAACTCATCAGAATTCTGGAAGACATTGCCACAAAAGTGAAAGCTGCCGGTGACCCAAAAAGAAAGGTTTGTTAAAAAATACTGCCCCTTCCATCTAAGTTTCTTCAGATAATTTTTCTAGAGTGATACCTGTTTCCTTTAATGACCTTTACATAAATAAACCAAATTTGACTAAACTTTGTAAAATTTTTTGCTGCTCTGGAAACAAGTAAAACATAGATATTTAATGGAACAACTCTCATCACTATTACTATTGAGGTTAGCAGACTTTGAGTCATTCAAATTCCTTCATCAGTGGTTGCTTAACCTGACTTGGAGGTGTCCAGAAATAATGGCAACAAAGCTGATTAACATTTTACTGAGAGGAATGCTCACATTCAGCACCTCGTCCCAAAATATTTGACTCCTTTCTAGGTGCAGTATTTCTTCGAAGCTTTAGGGTTGTCCTTGACAGGCTGGACACATTGTCATTTCTTAACAAAGGCAGCCAGAGTGGAATGTACTTAATATCTTGAATATAACATTTAGCAACAAAAATTGAACACATACCTGCAGAGATACATTCCTGGCAGTAGAAAGTTGCAGTTGCCTTCTCGAGCAGTTGCAGCTTTTATCTTGCATAAGTACATTTTCAGTTCAAAACTATTAATTTTCCAGGACAGCTGTTGTTCTGTTGTTACTTACCTGATGTGTAAAACTGCTTCTTGCTGAAATCTCAGCAAGACGGAGCAGAAAGGCAAATAAAAATATCTTTCCACTGCTGGTTGTCATGAAAGATATCATGAATCTTTTTGCCTTGTTAAGGATTCAAAGATTTTCAAAGGATTTTTCAGAAAACTCTCAGTGTTGTGACTGAGAGCAGCAAAGCAAACGAGGAAGTAAAAAGACAAAAATATTTGCAGGAGGAAAATCCATGTAAAGAAAAAGAAATAGTGGTAATACATTATACATTCCTGATGCATAATTCAGATTTAAGGGTTTAATCTCAAGGCTGCAGTTACTGTGATTCCTGAGAAGTACCCAAACCCTACAGTTAACACACAGATTTATCTCCACTCAAAGGAGATCACAGTGTTGAGACAACTAGCAGCAAATTATGAAGTTCTTGGGCAAGGCAAAGAAACCATGAGATGCAGCAGAGCAATACAAGGCTGATTAGGTGCTAATGAAAGTTACTGAATCATAGAAAGGTCTGGGTTGGAAGGGACCTTAAAGATCATCTGGTTCCAACCCCCCTGCTGTGGGAAATGACACCTTTCACCAGACTAGATTGCTCAAAGCCCCATCCAACCTGGTCTCCCAGGGATGAGGCACCCACAGCTTCTCTGGACAGTCTGCTCCAGCATCTCACCACCCTCACAGTAAGGAGTTTTTTCCCAATATCTAATCTAAACCTACCCTCTTTCAAATTGAAGCAGTTTCCACTTGTCCTGTCAATAGGTGCTCTTGTAAATAGTCTCTCTCCCTCTCCATCTAAACCTACAGGTCACCATTGAGCTCGTTGTGCATCTAGGCCGAGAAAGCATCAATGTGGAGTAAAATCATGGTTCTTATTTTTAAGAACTGCATGTCAGTGTGACCTCATTAGCTGTTATAAAGGTCACAGAGATGCTGCTGGCTCCAGAAATTGTACTGCTTGTTTAAAATACGGAAAGCCAATCAACGGCTTAAAAGGTGGTGGTGTGTTCTTTTGTGTTGCCATAATGTTTCACATGTTGCAGGAGGTGTTAGAGGTGGAACTCAGCAGCCTTCAGCAGTTCTTCCAGGAGGTAAAGGCTTGCCGGCTCCCCCTGAATCCCTCACTTGTTGTCCAAGGCATAGAGGCGGATGTAAGTCTACCTTTTGTTAAGGATTGCGTTTTTAATTTTATTGCTTAGTATAAAGGGGAGAGGAAGGGAGTGCCTGCATTGAATGGGAAATGATCTTACTGGGATTAAGCATCTGGAAAACTGACATCAGCCTGATCCTCTTTAAACTGGAGGCTTTTGTTTAAGGAGAAGGGGCTGGTGGGGTTGGTGCTGCATGTATGTCACACATTACACAGCAATGGCATCAGAGATTTCAAACTCTGAGCAGCCCATTCCCAGCTCACCTGCCCTGCTGTGGTGTTGGGATTAGCAAGGACACTTGGCTTCCCTGAAACTGAGCCCTGGTTACCATCCTGCCTGTCCAGGTAGCTATTGGTGTCAGTTTTTTTCTCATCTGAAACTCTCCCCTGTCACTTATGGGAGCAGCTAAAGGTCTAGAGCAAAGTGTCTGTTTGCTGAGCTGAGACTTGCTCAGAATTACTAAAATATTAAATATTCATGGTAACTTACTTGTGTCTATAACCTCTATTAAAAATGACTTAAGAGTAAAGGCAACAACAATGCTCTTTAGTGATACTTGACTTGACTTTGACCACAGTACTAAGAGTCAGTTACTCTTTGTTCAGAAATGTTTTCTTAAACAACATTATGCCAGGAATGACCTGTTCCATCTCTGGAGAAGGAAAATGTATCCAGCATCAAGAAAAAAACAAACCTGAACACCCATATATGTTACCAGTTATAGCTGTGTCATTACAGCAATTTGTGCTCTATTTTTGTTCTCTGGTTCTCTGGTTCATTATCCTGAGTCTAGGAGGTGCTGATCCCTTCAATTGTCTTTGACCTGTGTTTCTCCAAGTAATTGCTATTCAGCATTGATCTGACTGAGAACTGAGGTCTTCCAGCACCCCACAGGCTTGGGCCAATTGTGTATGAGATAAGTCAGAAAAATTTGAAGCCTGCTGCTTCTCCCTGCTTTCAGGCTTTTTGGAAAGGACTAATGGGAAGGTATCTCACCATAAAGTCGTGCTATTTATACTGCTCCAGCTTGGCTGGACAGATACAAAAATGTTTAAATGTAAGTGTCTGAAGAGACATATTTTTTTTTCCATTTTTCTTATATCATTATAGGCTATTATCTTTCTATAAATACATCCAGCTCCTTGATTGAACTGTACGTCAGTATAATCATGCAAATTAGAACTTTTAAGTGCTTATAATTACCTTAAATTTAGTTCATTTTGGTGTCATCTATTGATTTTACCAGTAGCAAGCACTGCTCCCAGCTCTATCAGTGATGCCTTATCTCACAGTAACCTTTCAAGCACTTACTGAGACATTTCAGTTGGCAAAATTCCATAGGGGGTTGGGGATTTCAGCACTGATAATGGCTATTGCACTTTGCAGGGGTTTGATGTGGCTAAGACAATATTTGCATGCTTGTCCCAAGCTTTGAGATGTTTAGATGAAAAGCCAGAGACAGCTGTGTCTGGTAGGGTTTTTGTTCAAATTAGCCTCCCTTGCACTCCACCCTGTAAGGACAGCAGTAGCTCTTGTGGAGCACTCATTATTTCTAGAAACCAGACCATTAATTTACCCTCGGTTTTGGTTGTTTTTCAGTGGGTTTCCCTACCCACCCCCCTTTTTTTTAATGAGGATAGTAATGCCACCCTAACTCACACAGGATTTGCAGTGTTTGGCTCATTAATGCTTTTTGAAGCCCTTTGAGGTGTTCCAGTGGAAGGAGCTGTAGGGCAAGAGAAGACAGAGTTTATGTTTAATTAAGATAAATTCCACATAAAATAGATCATGATTTTCAGAATTTCCGGTAGCGTCAGCCGGAGTGAGGTTGCCAAAGAAATTTGCAGGTTCTTTGCTTCCATAAAGATTGTCTGATTGGGCAGGGGTGATTTTTTAGAAAATAATAGGACCCAGGGCTTTTCAATGCTTTACAGATTCTCATTAGATCAGTCTTACATACTTTGATCACTCAGTTCCAGCCAAAACTTAACATTGGTAGGCCTGGGTTAAAATGAAAGACAATTAATATAGAAAACATTATCCATTCTTATTATCTGATATGAAAGGGAAACATGGTCTGAGTCATTTTTCAGACCCAGTTAAACTGTCAGTAATATCAGGAATTATTTATTTTTTGTTATCAGTGCTATGAACACTATTTAAAGATGGTGTATTGTTTTGGCCTGATGTTTTGTGTGTGTGACCTTGTTGTTCTTCTGTCTCATCCTGTTTTCCCCGAAGTCATGTTCATATTTTACATCCAATGCTTTTCCATTAAAAATCTCCTTCATTAACGCGAACACTCCAAGTGGGAACATCAGTGTTATTTTTAAGGTATGTTGTTTCTCTATTCCTCTGGTTCTTTGGTATGGAAAATGATGACTTAAAATTCACCTAATTTATGTTTTAAACCTTGAGCCTGTGAATAGCTGATTTGGCTTTGCTGCTCACTTATCCCTATTATTTTTGACATTAGAACTTCTAACGGAATATGTTGAGGCCATACACTAAAGTATCACCTTTCTGATCAGTAGAGAAGCAAACAAGTTCTTGCAGTTTGTTTTTCCTAGTGAAGACAACCAGACTAAAATGCGAAGTTTTTATTTTTAAGCTAGTTTATTTATCACACAGCAGTCAGAAGACAAGTCTCAGAGAAGAGATAGGTCTGAATGACTGAAACCATTAGCTTTTCCCATACGTTTCTAAAAAATCAAAATACTGGAGGGTTAGAAGCTGCATTTGCCTCACAAAACTAATTCTGTCCCTGTCAACCAGCACAGGGGAATGGGGTGAGGAACACAAGGTGGAGGAGACAGCGGAGGAGCTCCGTCTCATTGGAGTTTCTTGGAGGAACTGACTCCAAAAATAAATTCTCTAAAAATAAACTCCAGTTTATTTTCCAGTTGTCACCTAGAAAAACTCCAGAGTTCAGAACAGTCCATCCACAGAAAGACAAGAAATGCATTTTAGGGTTAGTTCTCTTTCAAAAGAGCAAAAGTTACCCTAAGAGTGGATATTGGTTTTAGAGAAGAACACAAGTCCATAAAATGCTGATGGATACAAAATGGTTAGCGTTGCCAGTGGCATAATTTGTAGATCTTTTGCAGAATCATATTTTAACTAGGAGTCTAAAGAATTGATAAAAATAAATAAGAGCAAACAAACAAAAAGATTTCTATGCTGCCTTGATTGAAATTGACCTTTAGAGCAGCTGTATTTCTCAGAAATATGAATCTCAAGGCCTGTTAGGGGAGACTAGCAATTTTGAAGGTTTTCTGAACATTTAGAAATCTGATCCTTATGCTATTTAATCTAAGAATCACCTTCTCCTGCCAGCAAACCATTGTGTTAAAGTACCTTTTACTTGTACTGTAGTTCCATTGCTTATTCATGACAGATGATGCATGCATAAAGTGATAAGCACTGATACTGTGCTAAACTGTCTCCTGACTGCATATGTGAGGAAAGGTAAGTGGAGAGAATAAGATTTTTTTCAGGTTTGGGTACTAAGAAGAGTTATTTGGGGTCAAAGTTACCTTTAAATGAAAGAAAAACAGATTTGGATATTTTGCTTTTAAGATGAGTTTTATGTCTCTTCAAGTACTCATTTCATGGCAGTAAACGCCTGTAAATTGGAATGTTTATATGAAAAGGATGTAATGAAAAAATAAAGCACTTTAGATACTAGTAAAAGTCATATATTTTACGTAGAATGAGATAAAAAACAAAAAGTCAAGGCTGTTGTTTTCACAGGCCGTTTACTCAGCCACGGCAGAAAATAATCTCTTCATTAATTCTTGTGGCTACAATTAAAGCCCCATTTCACTGAGATTATTGTTCGACCAACTCCATGGGGAGAGGGGTCATCACTGCATCACTGTTTGAAACTGAATATGAATCGTGTCATGGATAAAATGTAAATTCATGATAAAATTCCCCTTCAGCCTCCTGCAAATACCAACTTGTGAAGCTTAATGTTAGACAAAAGCTGCCGTTTGTAAAAAGAGGTCTAGCATTAGGTAGACTTTAAAATGTAACTAAATTAGGATCCTACCTCTGGATTAAATTTTCAAAGTCTGATAATTACATAGGAATAATAAGCAGAAAGGCCACAGTTAATCAGGGAGCATTTGTTACCATCTCAGTAGCTGCCAAAACTGTTCCTGCCTATGTGTGCCATCTACTCTGTCCTCTTCTGACACAGAGAGATAAGTAGCAACTTTGAAGAAAAACAAGAGGGATTTATTGTAAAATGAATGTAGCTATTTTGGTGGGCAAAAAAAGTCTAAATTAAACAGGAAGTTATTTCTTTCTGGTATTGAAGGAGAAAACTAAATTTCATGTGCAATTTTCACAGATAGGTGATGATCTACGTCAAGATATGTTGGTTCTGCAAATTATTCGAGTGATGGACAGCATCTGGCTCCAAGAGGGACTGGATATGCAAATGATCATTTATAGGTGTTTATCTACAGGGAAAGGACAAGGTCAGTTTTAGATTATAAAAGGAACCTGCATTACATTATTCATATTTCATGTAAATGGAATACACAAAAATCATCTCTTTAACTTTCATTTTCATGGGTGTCTTACCTATATTACTACTTAAATTAAAAAAAAAAATCAAATTTTAAACTTCTTGAGCCCTTAATTATATACTTGCCTACTCCTGAATGCTGACTTTAATCTATTTATTCTGCCTCTCCAGAAGTACAACTGAACTCATTGGATTTTCTAACAAGTGAGGTTAGAATTTTCCAAAAGCCTCAACAACATCAGCTGGCACCAGATTCTTAAGAATAACTTCACATATCAAAAAGAGGGCTTTGGAGAAAATTTGCCATAGCTACTGAAGTTTTAATCCAGTGTGGTCCTACATATATGCTTAAATGAGCCTCCATGCATATGGCTACAGAAAGTACCTGTAGACAAGTGATGACAGCTTTGCAGTTGATTTTGAAATATTATTCTTGTGATTGATGTTGCTTAGAGCAGTCCTGACTCATCTGAAAGCTTTATTTCTCTCTTCTATGGTTGTTATAGCAGAGCTGTAGCAGGGATACCAATTGCTTGCTAAAGAAATCTGCTGACAGCAGTAAGCTTGCTATTTTTTACTGACCAAATCTTTTACTGGAAATAATCCTTGCTCTAATAAAAGACTGATATATCCAGATTACCTGCTGTACAAAAGCTATTAAAATAGAAAAACTAAAAGAAAAAAAAAATATTGCTTTCTGAGGCACAAAGTGAAAAGGGGAGAGGATGAGAGATCTGAAGGAACTAAGAGAAAATGCAGATGAGTTCAGGCACATGGCAGGTGGTTTTGGTGACCTGAAAAAGACTCCTCCCTTCTTTGTGGAGATGGGAGTCAAAGCTTGAAAGCTTCTGCTTCAAAGGCAAACAATACAGGAATACTATTCCTGAGCATGAGATTTTATGTAGGCTCTTTCATATACCAATAAATTCATTTTTGCCAAGGAAGATACAGCAATTGTCTCTGCCTAACAGTCTCTTTCTTTCAGCATCATAGCAGCAGAAAACTGCTCTGTGTCTCACAGTTTTTGCAGACATCTTTCCTTATGAGTTACAGAAGTGTTAATATAATTTATTTACAGTAAATGATTAAGGATAAAAGGACAAGTGATATGCCTGTGGCCATGCAAGACATCTTCTTAAGGAGACTTGTGTATGCAGGTTTTCCAAGTCCTAGGCTAATGGCTTATTCCATAGGCCACCTTGTCCACACAAGGGAATAGAAGGTGATAATTTCATGGCCATGGGAACACAGAAATCACTTTTCACAGAAAAGTGAAAAGCGAATACAGCACGGGTTGAATGCTACTTTCCAGACATGGAATCGGGGAGGAGCCTCTCACCAACTGAAACTGTTAGAGAAAGCCCTTCCTGCAACGCAGAGTTGAAGGATGACATGCCAGCAGACCACACATGGGGACAGGGACAAAAGGCTGGCAGGCCAGGTCTCAGTTCCAGAAATGGAATTAAGTGCACACAGTAGAGACAGAGGATTGAAGTGAAGCATTGCAAAATGCTTGGCTTCTCTCTGCACTTCAGAGTCCCAGTTTATGACATACTGGATCAGACTACTTTCTGCATATCTATCCTTTCTCCCGGCTGTGATCAGCATCATGTACTGCAGAAAAATTGTGTAGCCTTCTAGACAATAAACACATCTGAAGTAACTTTATATTTAATAATGAATACGTAATTCTGTTTTCTATAATTATTTTTTTAGGTTTGTACATATTTTACCCACTTTGAATCTCAATAAGTTGTTGACCTTGTTGGTACCTTAAAGCACTTTATCCACAGTGTTGGTTTTGATGGTTATATTTCTCATTCACAGAACTGCCACCTTTTACTAAGTGTCCTTTATTTTTCATTTCCAAAGAGCAGAAGAAAAACAATGCTGATCTATATTTTCTGTTGCATTCATTATTTATAAGCTTCTAATAGTGTCTTTTTTTTTTTTTTTCTTCTGCATGGAATGATCCAACAACAGGCCATATGCATTGATGGTCTTCATATCTTTTTAAAGCTGAATATTTTTCATGCAATCTCTATTCTGTCTGATTAGGATTGGTACAGATGGTGCCAGATGCTACTACACTAGCGAAGATCCACAGGGAGTCTGGACTGATAGGACCACTGAAAGAAAACACAATTAAAAAATGGTTCCATCATCACCATCCTCTGGAATCAAGTTACCAAGAGGTAACATCATAACGAAGCTTATTACACATTTCATGTTATACCATGGGAAAAAAGAAACCAAATTACAGTAAGCAGCAAAAACAAGTGGCTCAGACACGAGACGAACAAGTCACATGCATAGAAGTCAGGGAATTGACTTAAATGCCACTCTCTTTCTAAGGAGACATTGCTCTGTATCAGGTGTATTACTTTATATTTTCTGTAAAAATATGTCATAGAGATTTTTTGGAATTTAGCAGTAAAGC